CGCCCACTGTGGGGTGGTGTGCAGTGTTTGGGGGATGTGCCCTTAAAATCTGGAAAAATACTGTTTAGCTTCAGCCCTGGATCCGCCCCTGAGAACCCGCCCATGGCGTTTTGTAGGGACATTGCTGTTTTCGGAAAGCAGGCAATATTAATTCGTTAGGATATCATCACATCAAACAGGTTATGACGCCGCATAATGTATGCAGAATAAGAAAGCTTGCATCAACCAGACTTCCATGTTCTTTTTAGCTTAAAAACAATGCACTGCACGGCACATCTACTAGAAAAGACGCAAGCTCAGGAAGCGATCGATAAAATTGCATCCGGTCTGTGTGGGATCAACACCGGTGGGCGCCGATTCGTAGCTATCTGATGACGTCACCCGCCTCTGACATGCGTCTGCACGAGGGGCTGGCTGGCTATGCGGCTATCACCCTACTGTGCCGCTGAAAAGTAGTTCGGAGCAAGCTGTGCAGCAGGCGGGTAAGATTTAATACGGTCAGGGTCGTTTGCACGCCTGAGAAGCGCGCGCGGATTGGATACCACGTTGTTGCACAGCTCCCTGGGGTCGCTGACTGCCGTTGGAAAGCGCGCCAAAATATCTTGATCGTCTGCTAGCTCGACAGAATGCGCGAAATCGTACACATTCAAGCCGGGCAGTGCGGAAACCAGATCGGCGCGAAGGTAACTATATAATACTAGCTACTACATACTCAGTGCGCCCATTCATACTCCGCGCATGCAGTGCGTCCGTCACCTAGAAACGATAACGTACGAAGTCCATCGTTGTGAGTATACACGCTAGTAATTGCGTGATACAGATATGGAAATGTATCTATAGAGAGTAATTAGACTTAGCTATACGTGGAAGACATGCCCGTGTATACATATATGGGATAGATAGATAGATAGATCAAATGTGTGTGTGTGTGTGCGTGTGTGTGTGCGTGTGTGTGTGTGTGCGTGCGTGCGTGCGTGTGTGTGTGTGAGTGCGTGCGTGTGTGTGTGAGAGAGAGAGAGAGCGAGCGAGCGCGCGCGAAAGAGCGCGTAAGTGTGTATGCGTGTATATCAAGAGTAGATAATATGTGTAATATAACTTATAATAGTGTTATTATCTACTCTTGGTGTATATATATATAGGCGCTAGGTATCCTGCTGTAATTCATATAAACCTCTTTCGCAGGTAATCGTGATTTAGATTATATATGATTATAAACTTGTTTTCACCTCACTATGTTATCTAGCTATAGTGCTCCCTATATATGTTACTATTCTCACCCTTACATTCACTTACTAATTCCTGCGAATGTTAGTTGTAATTTGCTTTCAGCGGACCTCGTATATTCGAAATTGCTGCGTAGCGGGATTATATTCCTCACATTAATTATTAGTCTACGTGAATTTGTATATGTTATGTTATGGTTTTTTACTTGTGGGTGTTCACTATGCTGGATATGGTCATAAGACGGTGAGTGCCTTTAGAATAATGAACCTAAGCATGAAACAAACAGCTGCATGTAATAAACCATGACAATTTAGTAGCTTAAAATTTGTCTGCATGTAATAAACCATGACAATTTAGTAGCTTAAAATTTGTCTGCATGTAATAACCCATGACAATTTAGTAGCTTAAAATTTGTCTCGGTATCTATTGGGCTCGCGACCTCGTAACCTCGTAAATATGTTAGTCTTCAAAGTCCAAAGGACTATATCGAGGACGGAAAAGACAAAGTTGATCAAATAGACAGCGATGCACATAGAAATGACGCCGGGCCGATATGTCCTTTGGTTTCATCACAGATAAAGTCTTACTATAGTTCTTATATTGACTGCGTTATCCCAAGAGGCCGATTGCATATATTTCTCATTTAATTTTGAACTGGATATAGTGCGCGTTCACTGAGCTAGCGTTATTTTACATCGCGCAATCGTGGCATTCCTCTTCCTTCTCCACCCTTCTTACCGTCTTCAGCAGGACCCCTATCTCGTCCTGCTCGAACCCACACTCACAAATGCCTATAACCACCTTAGGGAAACTAATGGAACACTGATGCATTCCTTAGCATATGTTTGCTACGCGTGAATCAACACAGTATGTAACGCGAGATCTGTAAGCATGTGGTGCTAGAATACTTTACAATATACGTAACCTGATTGGGCGCTGCCAAACCGGATAGATTTATGATCGCACCGTCGCCAGTAGAAAACATGCAGTCATCAGCATGTAGCCACGGCAAGACAGGAAACAAAGTAGACGGCGATTCTAAATTATTTACTGCAGCGAGTTCCTTGGTGGCTTACAGTGGGTAGTTACCGAATATCGCATTGGCCCATGCCAAACGATCGAGTAATCACCAGTGGCTGATTAATTAGCAAACTAATTTTTAATGGGAACCTCGGCCATCAATTATTAAGTAGAGTGATTACTTTGCTGGCCTCACCGCGACGAAGTCTACATAAAAACCTTCTAAATGGTTCGAGCGGCGCTAGTGTTGCCTTTTAGAATCATCAATAAGTCTAACAGTATTTAATAAGAAGTCGCATTGCCTAGCTGTAGACCTACCCCATGTAGTGTGTTAAATAATAATATCTGTAGTAACAGTAGGTAATGTTCTTCGGGGTAGCTGTGAATCATGAGAACGTTTTACAATGTTAGACTCAGTATACAACAAAGACGGTCATAATGCCGCCATATGTGTTGAATTAAATATACAATGCAATCGAACTCAACGCAACGCCGTGCTACGCAACTCAGTGCAACGCTCTGTAATGCAAGGCAACGCGACTCAGAGCAATACATGCAGTGTTACGCATTGCATTACAATACGTACAATACATTTCGTTGTGCGATATTTATCTGCAGATAAGCAATCCTGTTAATCTATATATTCGTAGCATTGTCCATATTTATGTAATTCCCTCGTGAATGATTGATTAACACTGCTAATTATAAACGTGAAGATGTGTATGGAATTTTTCTCTACATATATTTTTATGTTATAGATATTTACAAGAGTAAGATAATAACCCATGGTTTATGTACCATTAACCAATGGGTTATTATTTTTAACTCTTGATATTTACAAGAGCTAATGATGGAGGTATTATTAGCTCTTGATATTTAGTCAGTGATCGTGCGGTCAATAGTATTAGAAGTAGATAATAAGGAATTCCATATTATCTACTTCTGATAGTATGTAGCTAGGTTGAATGTGTAGGTAAAATCGTCCCCAGTATATATTCTCCTATAAATTTGTGACAAGTTTTGTTTGACTTAATGATAGCATAGCTATATTATACACTCCTGATAGACCTGTACATAAGGCTGATAAATCGTTGGTTAATATCATGTTATATAACACCAGCACCTCTAAGACATGTATCCCACTATTAAAGACATCGGTAATATATATGAGTGATACTGTCAGCGTCGACCTATATTTGACATTGATGGTAGGAATCTGTGCGTCATGCGAACGTATTAGGTTATTGTATCTTTCTGCTGTTTTTTAGTTCTGGGAAGTTATATCAGACGAACATGGCATCGACCCAACAGGAAGTTACCATGGTGACTCAGATCTTCAGATTGAGAGGATTAACGTTTACTTCAACGAGGCTTCAGGCGAGTGCTGAAACAAACTAGCTAAACCTGCTACTTATCTCATGCCTTATATCCAGAATGGTTGGTTAATATCACCGTATTATACTATAAATTTCATCGTGATCGAAGCATTGGATAACTGTATTTACAGAAGGTAATGGAAAATATGTTTGTATGGATTCATGTAAGCGTCAGGTTTCTCTTTTGGTTCGCTTTTTTCTCTATTGAGAAGGTGACGTGTAAATTTCGTTCCACCACAGGGGGCAAGTACGTTCCACGTGCTATCTTGGTTGATCTGGAACCAGGCACGATGGATTCTGTACGCTCAGGGCCTTTTGGCCAGATCTTCCGGCCAGACAATTTTGTTTTCGGTAAGAATCCGTTAAAGGCGCTACACTCCTGGTCGTTGCTACCATCTATCCAGTAATGCCATGTTTAAGATGGACCAGTCAATGTGCATGAGACAACAAGCAGACTGACAATTCTCAAAAGCATGTGCTGGCGTCTTTCCATAGAGATCTGTAAACACGCGTGATGTGTAAACATGATATGTAATGTGCAACACCTCCTTTCCACGTTTGCAGTATAGGTACTAAGTATAGTATAGTATACCCATTACCAGTACTACCATTACCATACCCAGTATACTTTAAAGTATGTAAGACTTTGTTATGCAAGGCAAAAAACAAGGTTGCATATTTGTTGGCTACAGGACAAAGTGGCGCAGGAAACAACTGGGCCAAAGGTCACTACACAGAAGGAGCAGAACTGGTTGACTCTGTACTGGACGTGATCAGGAAGGAGGCAGAAGGCTGCGATTGCCTGCAGGGATTCCAGTTGACCCACTCTCTGGGAGGAGGCACTGGTTCTGGCATGGGCACCCTCCTTATATCGAAAATTAGGGAAGAGTACCCTGACAGAATCATGACAACATTTTCAGTTGTGCCCTCGCCAAAGGTGACTGCTGTAATTGCTCTGATGAGTTTTTTATGTCACACATTAAATTTAACAATATACATTATGTATATATATATACACTAATCTACTTGAGATAAATAAAGAATTGTTAGACGGTTCTTCGCAAAATACTACCGTCTTTGGAACTAATGAAGATTGAAACTCATTCTAGGTTTCAGACACCGTAGTTGAGCCCTACAACGCCACACTCTCAGTACATCAGTTGGTAGAGAACACAGACGAGACGTTCTGCATTGACAACGAAGCTCTTTATGACATCTGCTTCCGCACACTCAAGTTGACCACACCCACATACGGCGACCTAAACCATCTAGTATCGGCCACGATGTCAGGAGTCACTACCTGCCTGCGATTTCCAGGCCAACTAAACGCTGATTTGCGAAAGCTTGCTGTCAACATGGTGCCCTTCCCACGTCTCCACTTCTTCATCACCGGCTTTGCTCCACTTACCAGCCGTGGAAGTCAGCAGTATAGAGCCTTGTCCGTGCCCGAACTCACCCAGCAGATGTTCGATGCTAAGAACATGATGGCGGCCTGTGATCCTCGTCACGGTCGCTACCTCACAGTTGCGGCAGTCTTCAGGGGCAGAATGTCGATGAAGGAGGTCGACGAGCAAATCCTCAATGTGCAGAACAAGAACAGCAGCTACTTCGTCGAGTGGATTCCAAACAACGTGAAGACCGCCGTCTGCGACATTCCGCCACGCGGTCTGAAGATGTCGGCCACCTTCATCGGTAACTCCACCGCCATCCAGGAGTTGTTCAAGCGCATCTCAGAGCAGTTCACTGCTATGTTCCGACGCAAGGCTTTCCTCCACTGGTACACCGGCGAGGGCATGGATGAGATGGAGTTCACCGAGGCAGAGTCTAACATGAACGACCTCGTGTCCGAGTACCAGCAATACCAGGACGCGACGGCTGAGGAGGAGGGTGAGTTTGATGAAGAGCTGGCAGAAGGAGTGGAAACTGAAAACTGATTGGCCAATAACATTCACGAATATCTTCAGCATTCACCACTATCTGAATGTCTGTCACGGCATCACGGGTACTTGTAATGTACCAACATAAGGTGTTGCCATTGCATGCTCGAGGTAAGGACGGGGGTAAGGAGAAGTAGACGCAGACTGTGATTAGAATTCGAAATCGAATCTGTGTCGTTTTGTGAAAAATTATATATTTATAGACACTAGGTTATTCTATTATAAATATCTGGTTGAATATTTTAGCGGTTACCTACTTTGTCAAACGATTGGGCATGCAATTACAACATTAGCATGGGATGTGCTTATACTCAATTCAACTTTAGTCAACTCTAGTCAATAGAGTGAATAGACACTGCAAGAATGCAGATTATTATCACGTGGCAACCAGCTGACTTTTGGAGGATTCTTCTTAGTAATGGAACCCAGGAGAGAGAAAGTCATTTACGTTGGGTAGGATCGCCCTCGTTGTGAATCAGTTGATTCGGTGACAGCGTAGCGATAACAATCGCATTCGTGTTGACAGTGTAGCGATTTAAATTGCATTTATTACATTGCAGTGGTGCAAGTTGTATTTATTATATTGTAGCAATGCAGGTTTCGCTGGAGTGACTACATTGGCACAATGTAAACTTATATACAATCGAGCCATCGCGTAACGTTATCGAAATATTGCATAGTATATGTTTTACACAGTCACTGCCTATTGTTTCACGCTGTGTTAGTAGAAACACTGGAAAACACTTGGGAGAATACATTCCATTAAATATTTATTGGGTGAGCAATCTTAATGAGATCGCCTGTCGGCAATTAGCTGATTAATATTGGGCAAATCTAAAACGTTAATTAGTGAGTGATTGGTTCGTAGCGGTATTACTTAGACTATTAGCCACTGCCACTAGTGTTGATTCCAACTTCAACCCCCTCTCCCAACGAAAATCTATAAGCAAATTCATTATATTGACGTTACATGGGTATATAGGTTTTAGGCCTATGGTGTAAATATATAGTGTGTGCGGTACGCAGTGGTAGATGTATACTGGATATACCTAGCCACGCAAACAGAAATCTAGATACGATAATGTAACCCAACACAACACACAACCTACTCTTGTGGCGGGTTACATTATCGTATCTAGCAGAAATCGAGTTGCATGGACCTGTGATAACTAGGAACTGTGAGGAGTAAGCTGAACCGCCGATGCCTATGCGTTGCTATTTCATGCGTGCCATACAAGTTTAACCATGTCATCAAGATAGATATACCACTATGAATCTCAAGACGGACACTGTACTGCAGCTACTGCTGCTGTTTTTTTCAACAGAATGTTTTGTTTGACTTCCGCTCATATAATACCATCTCAAAGTCAATCGGCATACTAGAGCATACGCCACTACGTACGCCTACGGAGAAACATTACTTATGAAATATGTGTCGTTTCTACTAGTTAGACCGTCGACTTTTCCTGGTTTGTGTCTTTTTTGAGATGTACATGTGTGCTTTTTGCACAAGACAACGTTTACGAATAAAATCGTCGTCTTTAAACAAACTACTCGTCTACTGCTATAGGTTTGAGCGTTACGCGAATTCACCATACCTATGTCAGGTTTCAAATATAATGTTTTCGAAGATCTTTACTGGCAGAGCTTTGCATCCCAATGCACCGCTAAGGTTACAGCATCTATCGATATCGAGTCTAGCGTTACACATATTAAATCACATAAATCGACCCGACACATAAAGGAAACTTCATAGCAGCACACAAGGCGCGACTGTGCACAGAAATCCAATCAAGTGTGTCGTGGCTAACAAACCTTGTATCACCAATTATAGTCACCTAGAAATATTTGGTATTAGACGCCCAATTTGAAATAACAGCTAAGCTATTAATGTATTTGTCTATCACCATCATTACATCTAGCGAGAGAATTCCTATTTTACGCCACCGCCATCAAACAATTAACGCGCTATTTTCTGTTTATGAACAAATATGCCGAGGAATACCGACATATAATTCAGTGTTCGTCTGTAGAGCAGAGCAGGCTCTCTGAACCTAGCTCTAGTACTAATAGCCCTTGTTGCCACAGGGCTATGGCCGGAACTCATGATATACTAGCAAAATATCCGTTCACTACTAAGCGCCTATGTTACGGGTAATTGCGCATATTTCAATTGCATTGCGGTCAAGCGTGACATAGCCTAGCATGGACTCTGAGATCAATTCTTCAGGCTTATGTAGCACGTTGGCTGTCCAGACAGGGGCTGTGTCCTTATTCTAAACGGTGACTTTACGGAAGTTTATTGTTGTAAATTACTGTTGTAAAACCTCCATCTACGGTGAAAACGATAGCGACGTAGTGTCTTCCCCACGAGGGCAGCTGCCTAATAACTATATGATGAAAACACACCCGTACTAAAGTGATCCATCGCTATAAGCCTATAAATAAACGCAAGTGAATAACCTCAATTTTTGCAAATAAACGCAGGTCGCCTGCACACTTATGCTGTACAAAACCACTATCGTAGAAAATCAATAGTCTATTCTCGATCGCCTGTGCGTATACTCGGAACATCGGCAAAATACTTTCTACAGCAAGGTTAAGGAACGCGAGAAGACTTGTTGCAAGGGAGTTATAACAAGGGAGTATAAGAATCGCTTACTGCAATGCGTAAGAGCCGGGATAGACTCCTGGTAACATAACAAACACACTCGAACACACCCAAGGGAAACCGATTTTCCGAACCGGACAGAAACTGCAGGCTGTCAGAGTATTGGTTTCTGGTTTTACGTCGAACAATATAAGGTAAGTAAGACCGTTGTAAGCTTAGGAAATTCATCACGCTAAAGTTGGCTTCTTTTGTTAATTCTATTTCAACTAGACAGAGGGCACTCAAAGAGAGTGCATACCTCCGCGAGCGTGTAACATGTATACATGTGTATAACAGCTGGCTCGCTGCTGGCTGCTGCTGACTGGACACCCTAAGGCGAAAGCTGCTGCTGACTGGACGCCCTAAGGGCGAGCTGGTGGCTGAATCGATCGCGCCAACGCTGTGTAAACATGTATACATTGTGTATAACAGGCTGGCTCGCTTGCTGGCTACACACACAACACGAACATCACACACGAGACACACACACGAGAGCGATTACATTACCGTCCCTGCAACTCCGTTGCGGAGGTAATAACATATCATCAAGAGCTAATAAGAGGTATTATTAGCTCTTGATATCATACACATACGCAGCCAAGTGAAACGTTATAACTTGAAAAAGTCTAAACAAAACCTCATAAGTATAGTAAGATTCTCGCTTACACACGTACGCACAACAATGCGCACATACGACCACGCGCGCGCGCACACCCCCCCCCCACACACACAGCACATCCGCACCCGCACACACATCACATGCACACACACACACACACACACAAACACACACCAAGCAACACACCAGACCTCACACTCACACACACAAATACACACACACACACACACATGCACACACAACACACACACCATCACACACATGCACAGCACGATGGTGAGGTGAATCGATACGAATGTCTTGGGATCGCACGCATATATCATACTATATATCATATATATAAGAGCGAGAGAGAGAGAGAGAGAGAGCGAGAGAGAGAGAGAGAGAGAAGAGAGAGAAGAGAGAGACGAGAGAGAGAGAGAGAGAGAGAGAGAGAGAGAGAGAGAGAGAGAGAGAGACTGTTCTGTTGGGTGTAACCCGGATAGACTCGGCTACAGCTACTGTGTGCGCTGCCTGTGATGATGTGCGTACAATACACGCGGTGGTGATTCTGCAGCGAGCTGTTTTCAGAGAAAACAGTAAACTGGCAGAGATGAATGACCCGTTAATGGATAGCTGCGTTGGCATGCAGCTACCTCCTAGACTGTACTGGGTTGTCGCAGCGAGGCGAGCTTTGAAGGGATTACATATAATAAACTGCTGGGCGTGCCACAGATTACGCGCTTCGTTTCTTACGTGGTGACATTGCTATTATTGCGAGGAGTATTCTTACGATATGAGTGTATTTCTATACAAAGGCATTAGAGTCAGATGCTGCCCCGCGGGTCTTACCGGGCATTTCCGCCTTCGTTATATTGATTTCCCTTAATTGCGGTTGTGATGCTGTCCTGATTTCTGCCGGATGGGAAACACGCACCTACTGTGTTTCGCCTCTGGTCGCGATCTAAGAATTTGTTGAAGAATTGGAATTGGTTTGAAGATGGATTGGATCTAAGAATTGGTTGCGAAGTCGCCGAGAGGAAGAAGAGAACGACAGCGTAACTTTTCCAATTTGTTTCTATACAGCTCTGATGTAGAGCAACTTGACCCACTTTTCAGTTCCTAATTAATTTCTGATACTCCTACTGCTGATATATTTATATTTACACAAAGCAATTACAAGATAACCCATGAACACGTGTCATTTCCTCTCAATTTGACATTTCCCGTCATACATGGTGCCGATAGCATCGCGTCGAATCCCAACCACAACTTTACCCGTGCCATCCAAATCACAAAATGATTCTCGATCGACTTTCCCATAGCACAACAAGCAATTTCAAACAGCGCCCCGCCTTCCATCCCAGACATTTATACCCACATTTTCCCTGATCGGCATCCTCCCCGGACGCTGTACCTTTACAATCCGCATCAACAGTGTATACTCTGCGATGGCAGATTTCATCGCGATAGCTGAAGCCATGATGTAATATGGGTGTGTCAGACGGGAGGCGCGCGCGCCATATGCTCTCAGCCAAGCACCGGCGGTATGCATTATGAATGGGTGAGTAACAACAACCTCCCCAAGCTTCCCCAAGCCTCCGAAGACTTGAGAGCGCACGCAAGCATGCGACTGATGATGACTCGCATGCCATCGATTTTTCCTCACGCTGCTGCTGCTGCTGCTGGAAAAGAAGACGGGCGCAGAATTTACAGCAGAATAGTGGCAGCACGTCTGCGGTGGATCGGATCGCGATAGTGTGGCTATAGACGTTCAACCAGACTTCGGCGCGGTAGCTATAGCGTATACGGCGTTAAAAACATTCTTCAGACGTGCAACATCTGGGGGTATTGGATGGATGGCCTCCCGGTTCGCTACTCTGCGGCAGCTTCACGTCTGACTCTGACGTGCTTTGCCCTCCTAGGGAGATCGGGAGAGAAACATGATGTTGCTGAGATGGGGTTGAACTACTGCACGCGTGCGGCAAATAAGGGGTAGCTCACGGGGACATGCATGCTTTAAGAAACAGGAGGAATTATGCAGCAGCTCTATATGAATCAACCGGATTTTATTTACTTAAACAAATATACAACATCCCTGCAGTCGAAACAGAACTCGTATATGCATGCATGCGCTTATTCTTAGGGTAATATCGACAAAAAACGCATTTCCATTATCTGCGCGCAATCTTATTGATAAATCCTCACATTATAATTATATGATAATATCTCACTGTCTTAATTTATTAACAGTCTACTGAATAGCGCTCGGCAGTCTACAGCCACGCGCGTTGCTACTGATGCGTATCTCTGCAGCGAGACACCGCGGGATCGCTTACTGACAGTGGAAGTGGAAGATTCCATCATGAAATCCATCTCTGATCGCGCGGGATACGAGGCAAGCACGGCAGAGCGTTCGATCGGCGCGGTGTCTGCGCGCTATTTATATGTAAGCCTCGGAAAAGTAATGTTTTAGCTGAAATGCTAGTCGCGAGCAACGACCGGGGTGTCTAGTCAGTCAGCACATGCACGCGTGGGCGCGTGGCGGATGTGAGTTAGAAACAAACAGGACACATCGTCGGCACGTGAAGTTTCGCACATGTATAGTAGTATTACGGTAAGCGTTGATCCGTGTCTGGTACATTTACGCGACTAAACACGGTAATCTTCGTGTCTTGTCCAGCGTCCGAAACGACCTCTACTATAGTGTATGTTTTGCGAAAACCGGCTAGTTAACTGTACTGTAAATGTCGGGAATAGAGAAAACGAACATCCGTGGGCATAGTTAATGACATTGTAAGCTATTTATTTACTCATTATAAACGAGTGATCACATAATTTAATTTTAATGGTGCTTTTACTGAAGGTAGGGCAATACACCCATGTGCCCAACGTTAATATATCCAGGACTTATGGTCACTATAGTCTATGGACTTATACACATATCACATATGGTCAACATTCACACATTGGCTTCACAATCGTTTTCTGCGTTACACAAGAATTTCTCGATTACATAATCCCATTGTGGTTTGCCTACGTGTTCGTTTCTAGCATTTCCCGTTTTATTTGTCATGCATTATTCATTTAGACACACGTTTCTATTTCTTTTTGAACCCAATATCGTGGCTCAAACGATCACGTAAGGAGGCAAGATTCTATACTGAGTTCAGCAGCCACTCCTCAACGATATATATATATATTATATATATATTATA